AATCTTTTCCTTTTATTGTCAACATTCAGGAAATGAATAATGAACCAATACTGCAGGATTGCCCCAAGCCCTGAGGAAAAAGACAGTCTCCAACAGGGCCAATCCCGCCCAGATCTAAGCAAGGATGCTGTTTAGTGCTGGAGGTTCCATGTGAAGATTGCAAAAGATAAATTTAATAGTGATTTTCTATATAATTCTCTATATGATTTTGTAATAATTCAGTGCTGTAGTGCAGAATTCAGTAAGTATTTCTTTTATTCATTAAAGGGTCGTATTCAGAGGTGGGTTTCAGCAGATCCTGACTAGTTCTGGAGAACCGATAGCAGAGATTTTGAGTAGTTCGGAGAACTGGTAAATACACCTCTGACTGGCCCCGCCCCATCTATTCTCTGCCTTCCGAGTCCCAGCTGATCAGGAGGAAATGGGGATTTTATAGTATCCTTCCCCTGCCACGCCCACCAAGCCACACCCACAGAACTGGTAGTAAAAAAAATTTGAATCCCACCACTGGTCATATTCGTTGTTTTGTCCTTGGTGAAATACCTGTGTTAAGTAGGATGGTCTGTCAAGAAAGAGACCATTAAAGCTAAGAAGTCTTTGTTTTTTAATGGGCAGTAATGAGACCATCCCAAAGTTAAGGACTATCTGTTTCTCAAGATTGAAGATGAGAAAGAGGCCACTGAAAAACAGGTGTGCTTAATTATGGTTCAAAGTCTATATAGTCAGAGAAGCTCCATGGGATAAAGCTTTGATGCATATCTAACGACAGTGTGCTTGCTTGCTGGCTTTGAAGGGTCTGCCTGCTGTCTTTTCTCTAAGGTTCCCTGATTGGCAGAAGGAGCATAAGGCCTTTCATTGTCTTACTATGTTCTTGTATATTTTTAATTGCTGTCATGCGCTGCGTTACATTCTTCAGGCTTCTTGAATATTCTTTGATTGCTACCGTACGTAATTATGTGATTTTATTATGCTGCCTTGGAATAAAGACTTAAAGACTCCTATTGATGGAGTCAGTGCTTTCAAACCTAAAAGGGCCTGTAGAACCTCTGACTCAAATTTGCTAGGCTGGGAGCAGAGGAATACATGTTGTTTCACAGGGCAGGCATACTTCCTGGATTCCACTAGATCAGAGGTCCCCAACCCATGGGCGGTGGCCTGTTCGAAACTGGGTCGCAGGAGGGATGGCCAAGCGGGCAAGCGAAGCTCCTTCGCCATGAGCGGAGGGCACTTGCGCTCGCACACAAGCAGAGGGCACATGAGTAGAAGGTGCTTGTGGAAGGGGAGGGCGTGTGTGCCCGCTGCTCAAATGGAGCAATGCGAGCATGCAGATGCCTGCCACTCACATGACACCCCCCCTGCCCCAAACTGGAAAGGTTGGGGATGGCTGCACTAGATGGCATAGTTTCAAAGACAGGACCTAAGGCATGCCTACCCTATTGGATTTGAGGAGGCATGCAGGTCAGAGGTGGGTTTCAGCAGGTTCTGACCAGTTCTGGAGAACCGGTAGCGAAAATTTTGTGTAGTTGGGAGAACCGGTAGTAAAAATTCAGACTGGCCCTGCCCCCATCTATTCTCTGCCTCCCAAGTCCCAGCTGATCAGGAGGAAATGGGGATTTTGCAGTAACCTTCCCCTGGATTGGGGAGGGAATGGAGATTTTACAGTATCCTTCGCCTGGAGTGGGGTAGGAATGGAGATATTCCAGTATCCTTCCCCTGCCACGCCCACAAGTCACGCCCACCAAGCCACACCCACAGAACCGGTAGTAAAAAAATGTTAAATCCACCACTGATGCAGGTATAATTGAAGTAAGGCAGTCCCACAAATCACCTGGCCCTGTATCATGTACAGTTTATAGATGACCACTAACTCTTATATTGCATCAAGGAGCTTACTGAAGCCAGTACTGCTCACAAAGTAAAATTGTTACATGGGTATACCAAGATATGCCATCAAGCTCTCTGTGCCACTGCATCTTCCAAATGACTTCAAGGGCAGATCTATGTTGAGTGCATAATAGTAGTCCAAGCAGACAGTGATTAAGGATTGTGTGTCTATACAGACACACACACACACAATATATATATATATATATTATAAAATATATTGGAAACGCTTAGGGCCAAGCTCTTGAGAAGAAGAGTAAGCAGATCTGGACCTGGATGTGGAAGGGAGGAGACACCAAGAAGTTACAGGTTTATAGGTTAGAGTCCAATGGTTAGACTGAAAAAAAAATTGAAAACACATCCTGGAGCAAAGGCAATGACAATATATCAAGAAAAGTACATACCCACTGGGAGTTAATTTCTGCTTGAAGAACTTCTTAGTTCTTTGTTTAATCATCATATGCAAACTGCAAAATGATGGCTGGAAACAAATCCCAGTATGAACAGGGGCAGGAAAACAACTCCCTTTCTCCCAGGCCTGTATATGGTAACACACATTAAAACCAGTGGTGAAATTCAATTTTTTTTACTACCGGTTCTGTGGGCGTGGCTTGGTGGGCGTGGTGTGGCTTGGTGGACGTGGCACCACCAAAGGGAAGGATACTGCAAAATCCCCATCCCCTCCCCGCTTTGGGGCCAGCCAGAGGTGGTATTTGCCGGTTCTCCAAACTACTCAAAATTTTTGCCACCGGTTCTCCAGAACCTGTCAGAACCTGCTGGATTTCATCCCTGATTAAAACTATAAACTTTATCAAGGGCAATTGATTCCCCAGATCTACAAATGAGAAATACCCTTGTTGAAAGATGAATGACCAGCAGAAGGCCATCCAAGACTGTCTTTTTAAACCAGAGATCTCACATTAGACTATTCCAGATTAAGAGGCTCATGAAGAGTTCAAAAGAAACAACTTGTTGAAAAGCATTGCAGTATCGGAGCTTCAAAATTATGACATTTTTATGAAAGTAAAGTCACGTTCATGCCGGCTGTCAATCCAGCTATATCTTGTTTTGTTTTTTTTAATGACTCCTGGAAAATATTCTGGTGATTTATTCAGAATGTGAAAATAATACATTCAAGGTTAGATGGATTAAATGATGTTAAGATGCTGATGTTGTGGGAAAGCTTCAGATGGATGCCACAAGGTGGCAGTCAGCTGTGTTTAATCACATAAGCCTACCCTTATTTCAATAGCCTTTTGAAATAAAGCTTTGCCCACAGAACAGCTTGAAACTCAAATTTTGCATGAAACACAAAAAACCAATGACCAATGACCAAACCAAAACCAAGGACACAAGGCTAGGAATATTTGGGAAAGGCCCACATATGGACTGAGGTATCACCAATATGCTGATGATTCTCCACTCCTACAAGATATTTTGGTGCTTGGGAGATATGGCTTCATAATCCAAGGTATTTTTGAGAACATATTTCCTCATGAGAGTATCAGTCCATACAGCTTGTCTAGTCTGTGATGCTTAAGCGGTCCTTCCTTGGCTCAATCAGAAGACGCAATTGAAGCAATCAGAAGCAAACAATTCTCTCTGCATCTTCAATGGGAATCTTCATCTGAATAAAATGTTTTACTGCCATTTTGGTGGAGTGGTTAAGATGCCGGACTGGATACCAGGCGTCAGGGGGTTCTAGCCCTACCTTAGGCAAGGTGGGGCTAGAACACCTTAGGAAACCAACTGGGTGGGTCACTCCCTTTCAGCCCAAGGAAGGAGGAAATGGCAAAACACTTCCAAAAAAATAAACACATTGCCAAGAAATTTTCACCAGGCAATTGCCAGGAGTCAACACTGACTCAAAGGCATTCACACCCCAAAATGTTGTCATAGCATTAAACAGTACATTTAGTGAAGCTACTTGGAAAAAAAGTTGCAAGTGGAACAAAAAATAACCATTCATCTTCCTTCAATAATTGGCTTGATCTTACAATCATAAACATGTATCATCTACAGGCCATATCAATGTTTGGAAAATTTCATTTTTTTTTTTGTACTAGTTTAAACAATAGTTTATTACTTAGGATGAAACAGGAAACTACTTTTCAGAAGTTTATCTTAGTTTAATCATTAGTTTCTCACAATACAACATTAATTGAAGTTTCAGAAAGATATCTCCCAATAGAAATCCTTTTGCTAAATTGCTACAAGCATTTGCTGATTCCCTTACCCTTGTGAAATTCTTGCCATGACGACAATCACAATCCATGAGACTGAATGGTAGGGGGAGGGGGGGAAACAATCCTACTTGAGCCCACACTCCAATTGGAAAACATAAGTCACTTTGGCAGTTGCACACCTCTTTTCGAAGTACGTATGGCTATTTACATTCAATGTCTAGGAAATCAATCTCTCCTCATCCCTTTCCTTAATTTAGAAATATTGTAAGTAATAAATGTTTTAAGTAGCCTTCCACATACAGTAAATCAGCTCTACAAGGTCCCCTAAAAATTTACAGCAGGTTGAGAACCTTCAGGAGAAACGAAAGTCTACTTCATTGGTACATGCTATAGACAAGGCACAACAAGCAGAAAACAATTTCATTTACATGTGATGCAGATCTTTGACAGATAGGTAGAGCGAAAAATTTAGTACATAACATCTTGGTTCTGACCATGTAACAGCATCTCATTTATTCAGAAATGAAAGTTTTAATAGCAGCAACACATTGCAAAAACCGCTAGTAAAAGTGTCAGAGGAGTTACAGCTCCAGAAAATGGCTCATTAACTATGCAAAGTATCTTACTACAGTATAAAGCTTTATTAAAGCTTTAAATGTTGAAGTCAGTGTGATGCCTTTCAAAAGGCAAACAGGAAAAAATCTTTACAAAGATAAAATACAACATCCATTTTCACAATTTTCTCAAGAACTAGAGCTATTACAGTAATATTTGCATGAGATCAAAATAACTTCTCATTCTAGTGTCATTCACCATCGAATACATTAATTTTACCAATGAACTGAATCTAATTCCAACACATTTCCTAGTTATCAGCTACAAAAAAAAATGTATCTAAAGTGGTAAATAAAACCAAAGAATAAGGTAGCATTTATTTTGGTTAGCATGTTTTATTTTGGCAGAAATGTCCATACATGAAGTGTGTTGGTGTCTGTCTCTCTGAAGAACAAATTCATTTTTACAAGAGATTTACAATGTTTTTTTAAAAAAAATAGTTATATCGTACAAAAAAGAACATGATCCCATCAGCATGGAAGTATATATTAGTGATGAAAATAAACAGTATAAACCAGGAAAGAAATATTTTCTGAAATTATGTTTAAATCCTTTTTGCTTCCTCTTTCAATAACCGCCTACTATCTACTGAATAGAGTTCTGAAGCTCATGTTTACTATTGAATTCCATCTTAGCAGCATCAAACAGGACTCAATGTGGTGCAGTGGATACAATAGTGGACTGGAAGCATGGAGACCCAAGTACAATTCCAATATGTCCACGGAGTCCTTGGGATGACTTTGGGCCAGATATTGTTTCTCAGTCCAATCTATCTCCCAGTGTTATTGCTGCAAGAATATGAAGGATAAAAACTTTCTAGACAAAAAAGTGGATATAAATGTAGTAAATCAGTGTTTGTACTTAAAAAATACTATAAGAATATTAAAATCTGCTAGAAAGACAGCCATATAACCAAAGGGATCTGTTCTGTGATTCGTCATATTTATCTATTCTACACCAAGAGTCTGACTAATCCATTGAAAATAGAATATTGTTGAAAATTGCAAAAGAGGAAGTAGTTATGTTAGTGACTTGCACATGGTGCATTGGTATAAAGTTTTGAGAATTCTACAAATGGTATAATGGTGAGGTATAAAAGAGACTTAACACTACATATTTTATTTATGATACTAAATAGTGGTGCAAGTTCAACATTCAGCAGGATGTATGTAATATTAGTTTGTCTTGCTATTTTTACGTATTTGAAAAACAAGAATATAAATAATTCTTATACCAACTACCAAATAAAATGGGGACATATTTAATAGCATTCAGATAATTTGGAGAGGTATCCTGTATTTTCTCACCCACAGAACAGCATCAGCAAAACATATTCTACTACCCCTCCAAAATCTACTTCAAAAAGATGAGATAATTCCTGGTGTATATTTTAGAAACACTGGAAGTAAAGCTACTGCAGGATGGGAAATGTAAAACTGAATATTGACCAGTGTTCCATAATATTTAGAAGGGGAATTATCAGAACTAAATTTAAGCTTCCAAATAAGCCCTAGATAAAGCACTTCATGCATTTGTTATCATATAAAAGCATTTAAATTTAAAAGTATCTATGCAATTAAACGTGTCCCAATGCACAGAAAGCCACATAACAATACTGGCAGTGGTATTTGTATACATTGATAGTATATTTGGATAGTTTACAAAAGCCACCATCAGCTCAAAAAAATAATAGCACCACAATTTTTATTTAGTTTTTAAAAAGCACACCTTCCAAATTAGAAGCAATTTGTCCAAAGTTCCTTTAAATGGTTATATTTAGAACAGCTTTCAATTTTAAAATTGACAAAATCTATCCCGGTCGTTTTGTATAATAATATCCATGAATTTATCTTGCAGTAAGAAATACGTTATTTCCTGAAGTAGAAAGTAAGTCATGCAACTGGAAAATTATGAAGGGTATTAGCATGTATTGAAAAAAAACTCACATATTGTATACCTGTCCATTTTAGGTTGTATCATGCAATTACTATAGAAATAAGTTTAACATTGATTGCAACCGTTTTAAACATATGAGTCAAGTATAAACCCAGCTGTGGATTAAAGTGCAAGTAACTGTGCCAAAGTTTTAGAAGGCAGAACTGATACTATCACAAATGGTTATATAACTAACCAGAAGTGCAGGCAGTCTTTTATATGTTCTAACCAAGCTTACTCTATTTTTTCTCGACTACCAACCAAATATGTATTCCAGAGCTTTGGACACAATGCTTTCATCTTTCCTTGGAGTCTGTCTGTCAGAAATTACCTACAAGAGAGACAAATTTGAATAAGTAGCTGTTTCATAACTTTTTAACCAAGGTCAATAGCTTTTATCCAAAAACAGTGACTAGTATTTCTTCACTGTGTTAATACAAAAATACCTGGTAATCACTACTTGATGCTTTGTATGCAGTAGCTAGAGGTCTCATGGTGGAAATCCTTTGTGTGCTTGAAGGCTGTGCTTGGGTAGCAAACGATTTCATTGGAGGTGTGAAGACTGAAGTTGGGGATGATACAGTGCCTCTATCTATATTTTCCATCACATTCTACAAGTAAGATCAAGGAATATATTTAGAGATGTCTCTAACCAGTATTAAAGCTTAAAAAATGTTGGAAGATGATGGAGTGCATTAGTCTCTGCTTCAATAAGTTAAAGTAAAGGATGAAGAGCCAACCTATATGCCAGAGACTCAAGGCCTGCGGGCCGCATCCGGCCCATGGGGTGCTCAGATCTGGCCCACGGGGCCGCCCTGGAAACAGTGCAGGACCGGCCCGCGGTGTCTCTGCCAGCTGAGCTGCAAGGAGCTGCAGGAGGCTATCGCGGCCGAAAAGGGAGCCTTGACGAGTGATGTCGAGCTGGCCACGCCCAACACACACACACACACACTGGCCCCCCAAGGTAAAACACAACCCTGATGTGGCCCTCAATGAAATAGAGTTTGACACTCCTGCTATATGCTTACTTTAATTTAAATTCCTGCAGCCAGAGGGGACTGGCCTCTGGAGCCCAAATCTCTCCCTCCAACTCTAATTCCATGAGAGCACTAAAAAAGTCACAAATTGGCCATTTGGTTTCCCAGGTTGACCACCTGCACTTTAGGATAGATTTTAAATTAGGTATCATTGAAAAACCTGATTTAAAATATCAATAAACATTTAATATTCTGAACTAAACTGGATGAAAATAGTGATTTCCTTGGACTAGACACACTTCTTGTGTTAAGTTCACATTCGTTATTTACTTCCATATTAATTTTCTAATATATTAAATGCTACCCATACAATCTGCAATAAAATGAAATAATTATATTATTTCCATTTCTTAATAATATTCCTTCTAGCTTTTTCTCCTGATTTAAGAGGTACAGTATAGATAGTCCTCGACTTACGACCACAACTGAGTCCAATATTCCTGTTGCTAAATGAGACATTTGTTAAGTAGGTTTTGCCCCATTTTACCATCTTGCTTGCCACAGTTGTTGTGAATCACTGCAGTTGTTAAGTTAGTAATACAGTCGTTAAGTGAATCTGGCTTCCCCATTGACTTTGCTTACCAGAAAGTTGCAAAACATGATCACATGACTCAGGGACACTGTAACCGTCATAAATATGAGTCAGTTGCCAAGCCTCTGAATTTTGGTCACGTGACCATAGGGATGCTGCTATGGTTGCAAGTGTGAAAAAATGGTCATGTTACTTTTTTCAGTGCCGTTGTAACTTTGAACAGTCACTAAATGAACTGTTATAAGTCAAGACTACGTATACTGTTAATCGTATTTACTACCAAAGATTGGTTATGACTCTGCATTCCCCATCCTATTTTGGGCTATGTCCCTTGCTGACAAAAACCATATAACAACAACTCACTTTATCAATACAAGGTTTAACTCCAATCATGATAGATTCTCCAAAAATTCTTCCGTCTTTGCTCAGGGCTTTCCGAGCTTGTAATTTTGACTGATATCGAATATGCATCCAATTTCCTGTATTAGACATCTATATAGACAATGACGAAGAATAAAATTTCAAAGCCAAACTGAGAACGGCCATAAAAAAAAAAGAAAAGAAAAGAAAGAAAAGCAAACACTACACATCTAGCCTCACCACATGTTTTAGTATGTTTCCATACTGGGCAAACTGTAGCAGGATATATGAAGCAGATGCTTGTGGAAATCTGTAATATCAGTAGAAAAGACTTGTATCAGTATTTGAAATCATAAATAAAATATGCAGTATTCAGTCTACCTCAGCGTTATATCACTGACAAGAGTCTCAGAAGTGCATACAAATACAGCCCAAGTCACTGACAAGTACTGTGTAGCTCCTTACTTACTTGCTAGCCCATTTTATAGCGTATCATTTGCAAAGTTAGCTTCACCTTGCAAATGATACACTATATATAATGGGTTAGCAAGTAAGTCTAGGTGGAAAATGCTATCTTAATTTACAATCAAGGGAGTAGTTTTGGGGAATAGCATCATCTCATGGGGAATATTTTTATAGATGGGCAAACTAAACCACACATAAAAAGAGAGCAGTTTAATGCTTCTGCCTTCAAAGTAACGGTCTACTTTTTCTCCTCAATAGAAACTAAGGGATTAACCTTTCCCTGCTTGTTTTTATCCTTTCAGTCTAAAAACTCCATCTGCTTTCTTTCTAGCTAATTAATGGCTGCTCCCTAATACAGCAGCCAACACTACTTCTGGGTCCAAACTTCAATATTTCAATGCACAAAGGAAGAATTAAATGTTGTAATGACAACTATAAATAAATCTGTTCAGGAGTTTGATTATTCCCTTGTTTTATTATGTAAACTGCTTTACCAATTATCATATTTATGAAAATCTAAGCACACCTTATTCAGCTTTAAAAAAACTGCACATGTATATTGCAACCTACGTAATCTCACTCTCGCATTTTATAAAATTCATTCTCTTCGCCCACAGAATCATCATCCCTAATGCAAAAACTATGCCGATTAAACCACGGTAGCCAATTATCCTCCTGTTTATTATATGGAACTGCCAATCACTGACCCAAACACTGTTACCCAGGTGTCATCAAGTTGATCTTCTGATGTCAAAGCATCTCCTTGAGTATAGAATGGATCTAGCTGAGCTGGTGACATGGTAGTTTTTCTAGGTTGTGCAAGACTTGCTGGACTAAACACACTTGCCCCTGTCAAAATATAATGAAATGTCCTTATAAGACCTCGTAGTTAAAGGATGAACTAGTTACTCCAAGCTAAAATAAAAGAAAGGCACAGCTTATTAAACTATTTTACTGGTTAATTTTTGAATTCATGTTTACCAAATTCACAGTGTTTTATACTGAAGAAAGAAAAATGGTGACGATGATAACGTGGTGTCTCAAGGCCAGTAAAATGTTACTATTGTCAATACTTAAGATTTATAAAGTTTACAGTAAAATTTTTATCCTGATTGCCAGCATTTTACATAAATATAATGGAAAGCAAACAAAGCAATATATAAATATTTCCATAAATATAATGGAAAGCAAACTAACTTTAAAGAGGAAGACTTCTATCAGTGTCAGACATAAAGTAGAGCAGGACTTTTTAAAATTTGGTAAAAGTCGGGTTGGTATAATTTCAATAGGAATTATGTATCAGCCCATAAATTGTGTAATGATCCATATACAAATTAAATAGATCAGATACTCTTGAAATTTCCCCTTGCAGATAAATTCTTAATTAAATATCATGAGGAGAAAATAATGTCATACCTGTTCCAGGAGTTAATGGCAGAGACCCAACATTCGGACTCTGTATTACAGAAAAGGTAGCCTGCATGAAAGTACAATGTTAATTAGAAATTGTTTTAAAAGCCAGAAAATAAACTCTTTAAGTAGAATATTTTATTTTAAAATTAGCCAGCACAATTCAACTCAAAAATACACTTGCATGTTGTTTGTTTTTGATAAAAACAAATAAAATCCCAAGATTGAACTATACAGCAGAATATGCTATATAGGGCTTATTATTTTATAGGATCTCATATGCAATTTACATTTACTTTCTACTGAGTAATAACAGAAGCCAAAATTGAGTAATTTGGGCCAATATTGACCTAAAATAGGCGATAATTCAATGGACTGTAGAATCAGATGAGGTCATCAGTATGGAATAAAATGTTTACTGCAATGTCAACTAGTACAAATAATTTTCCAGAAACACAGGGATTCCAATATAAATGTATATAACCACTTCTCAGTTCTCAGGCTTGGATCTCTGAAAATACTAATTGCATAAAAATATTACACATAGCCAAATGTATACTATCTTTAACATACTGTGGCACATACAAGATCAGCAAAGCCTATAATAGCCAGCAAAGTATTATACTCTTCCTTCAACCCTTTTTCTTCCAAAGGCAAAAGATTTTATTTGTGCAACATTAAATAACCCCATGAATTTAATGTTGATGCATTCAAATCCAGACTGTGTTCTTTGGCTGCATATAGGAATGTTTTCTGAGGATCGTACCTTTGTGGCTCAATATAGCAAGTTCTTCCATTAATTCTATGTCTTTTTCCAAGATTCAGTGAATCACAAAAACATTCCACATTTCTTTATGCATTAGAGAAATACAGTGGCTCTCAAAACAATAAATGCATTTTTCACTACCAAGTATAGTTATAAAAATATTTACATGTGATTAACACTGAAGTAAGATTGATAACAAGGATAATTGTTATAATTACAATTATATAATTTCATCATATACACTTAGTTGTGCTATAATTTCAGGGGAACAATGATGTGCCATTGCTATGTATTAATATAGCCCGGGGTGTCAAACTCATGGGCCAGGGGCCAGATACGTCATACACTGGCCATCCCCACCCCCATTTTAGTGAAGGGAAAGTCACAATATGTCACGTGACAAAAACGTGACACCGTGAGTTTGACATCCGATATAGCCAAATGGGATCCACTAAGAAAGAGAATGGCTAATTTAACCTCACTTCTTATACTAGGCCCGTGATGGCGAACCTGTGGCACACGGAGCCATATCGGTGGGCATGTGAGCTCAGCTCTGGCACACATGCGCACACCGGCCAGCTGATTTTCGGGCCTTCCGGGCCCACTGGAAGTCGGCAAACAGGCCATTTCCGGCCTCTGGAGAGCCTCCAGGGAGGTGGAGAAGGTCATTTTCACCCTCCCCAGGCTCCTAGAAAGGCTCTGGAGCCTGGGGAGGGCAAAAAACGGGCCTGCCGTGCCATCACATGCCAAAAGCGAGGGAAGCGTGTGTGTGTGTCACACATAACATGTGCTGGGGTGGGGCGCATAGAATTATGGGTGTGGGCACCCACACACACGCAACCCCCCTGCGCTCCCCCCGCTTTTGGCACGTGATGGCAAAAAAGTTAGCCATCACTGTACTAGGCAATGAAAGTTATAGATTGCAACCCAGAACGATGAAGGAAGAGAATTTTACTTCTTTTGCTTGATTCTTATTAAATATGGCATAGTATCACAATTGTTTTGTATGCTCTATTCACATTCCAGAAAAATTAACCCAATTGTAAGAAGGCTTTTATAAAGGAGTTATAAAATAAAGCTACAAACTCTTCCCCCTTCCTTTCCCTACCTTTGTAGACAGCTTTTCCAATTTCTTCTGCTGTTCCTGCTCCCCCCACCACTTGCATACATAAACTGGCCAGGCCCAGACTAATGCACAACCCAAACATTTATTAAACATATGCCACTCATCTCGCCTAGAGGTATGCCAAAATAGCCTTTTTAATCCTATCAACAAGGAGAAAAATGAAATAGAGACCGCTCCTAAAAGTTCATCCAGGAAGCAGGAGATGAAAAGCCACAGAAAAACTACTTTCTAATCAAGCATGCATATAATTATCTCAACATTCCATTCTTTCACTAATGGAATACTTAGCAGCTTTGCCTTACAATAGAAAAATATGTTTTCCTTTGTTTAAACACTTATTTCACTTATCCCACATGTGACCATAAATCAGGCCTTTTGGATTTCTCACCCCTCAACCCCAAAATGCATAAAAATATGTCATTCTATGGTTCAGAGTCCCTCTTTCTCATAAAGCAGGCACCCAATGATCATTGAATAAAGCTTGGCTATTTCTCATCACTGTGCTCTTTTCTTCAATGGAAATTCTACAACATTGCCAATGCAGAAAAATATTAATATTTATCACTTGCAAGTCTCAGTCTCGCTTTGCAATTTCAGGGGAATTACTTACAGGCCTTCGTGAAGTCAAAGGTGTTGATCCAAGACCTGGGCTAGCGACTTCATCATAGATACTTCTAACTGGAGGAGCACCACCTTTATCTTTGTGTGTTGGCATTATTGGTTGTGGAGGAGATCCACCTAAGTAAACATATAATATTAGAACTAGTTAGCATGGAGTTTTCCGTAATCGTTACTATCTTTTTTCTGATTAAAGTGATTATCATGAATAAAAAAAAATCTTGTACATGAATAAAGCTGCATAACTATTTCTGAACCTTGTCAAAAATCAAAGGCTGGAAACTCTGGAAACGGACAAAAACATTGCAAATCACAGTCGCATAAGTAGTTATAGGAAGGTCTATTGTCATTTCAAACAGTCATTAAGCAAACAGTCATAAATCAAGAATAACTTGTACAATATTGACAGTATCATTGTGCTCCAAAACAAATCCGTTCTCTTAAGGGGGAAAAAAATTCTTAATTACAATTGTGGGAATTGCATTTGTGATTATAAATCCTAAGTATTTTTCTCAGAGAAGAACATTATATATACAGTAGTTATGATTTTTTTTAAATGCAGTGTTTTGGAAATTCAGTAACATGAATATCAGTCAAGCTGAACAGTCAAAAAGTTTATTTCAAGTGATTCACCCTAGAGAATACTTACAATGCAATACACACAAGTGGCCTTTTGCCCTGCCAAAATTAGCTTGCTTCTTAATGTTTTTAATTTCAAAAAAAATAGCAAAGACCTGTTCTCAGCAAACACCAGTAACCACTTACCCCCTATTTCAAGTAACACCCACCCGCAATACTATTCTAGGATATTCTTGGTGAATTTTTGTCATTTGGGGCTACTAGGAAAGTATTTTAATTCAGAACCAGCTTACCAGCAAGCATTGGTGACCTCATTTCCATTATACCAACTGAAGGACCACTTAAAGAGCGAGGCTGTGGCGTCACTGGAGTTGGCAAATCACCCATCAGAAATCCAGGCAGAAATTGAGCACCAGCACCTGGTTTTGGTGAAGAAGGGGATCCTAATGCCATTGGCTCAGCACCTGTGTTACAAAAGGTGGTTCACATAAGAATTACATTCAGCCTCTACCAAAGACACTCCAGTACAGGTAGTTCTCGACTTACAACAGTTCATTTAGTGACCGTTCAAAGTTACAACGGCACTGGAAAAAGTGACTTATGACCGTTTTTCACATTTACCTTTGCAGCATCCCCATGGTCACATGATCAAAATTCAGACCCTTGGCAACTGACTCATATTTATGACAGTTGCAGAGTCCTGGGGTCCTATAATTGGCTTTTGCGACCTTCTGACAAGCAAAGGCAATGCGGAATCCAGATTCATTTAACAAGTATATTACTAACTTAATCAATCAATGATTCACTTAACGACTGTGGCAAGATAAGTTGTAAAATGGGACAAACTCAAGAAATGTTTCATTTAGCAACATAAATTTCGGACTCAATTGTGGTTGCAACTCGAGGACTATCTGTAGCTGGTTCTTAATTTTGAGACCTTAAAACAGGGCTGTCAAATTTGCGGCAGGCGGGCCGAATGTGTCATGCGCTGGCCACGCCCAGTTTAGCAAAGGAGAAAAAAGCCCCGATATATCACATGACACCGCCGTGACATGAGTTTGACACCCCTGCCTTAAAACAAAACAAACAAAAATATAGCTTTCCTATTGAATACAACTGCCCTGTTAAGCATTACTTTCTTTGCAACCACCATAAAGGTATTCCTCGACTTGCAACAGTTCATTCAGTGATTGCTAAAAGTTACAACAGGAAAATGAAAAGTGATTTTGACCATTTTTCACACTTACAACCACGACAAGCATCCTCAATGTCACATAATCAAAATTCAGACGCTTGGCTTGCTGGTTCACATTTATGATAGTTGCAATGTCCCGGGATCACGCGATCAGCTTTTGCGACCTTCCTGATGAGCAAAGTCAATGGGGAAGCCAGATTGACTGAACAACCGTGCACTAACGTTAACAACTGCAACAATTCACTTAACAACTGCAGCAAGAAACTTTGTAGCCTGGGGCAAATCCCACTGGACAAATGGTTTTGTTAAACAACATAAAATGTGGGGCTCAAAAAGTGGGGCTCAACGTAAATATGGTCATAACTCAAGGACTACCTGCACTGGTTGCAAACGCAAATATTTGAATCCAAGTTATTTTATCCCTAGAACAAGGTTCCCTCTGAACAAACAAGGGACGATTTTGTTATTGCTGTTGTTAGTTGTGAAGTCGTGTCCTGCCCATTGTGACCCCATGGACGTTCCTCCAGGCCTTCCTGTCCTCTACCATCTTCTGAAGTCCATTTAAGCTCACTCCGACTGCTTCAGTGACTCTATCCAGCCACCTCGTTCTCTGACGTTCCTTTCTTCTTTTGCCCTCAATCTTTCCCAGCATTAGGCTCTTCTCCAGTGAGTCCTTCCTTCTCATTAGGTGGCCAAAGTATTTGAGTTTCCTCTTCAGGATCTGGCCTTCTAAAGGGCAATCAGGGTTGATCTCTTATAGGAGTGACCAGTTTGTCCGCCTTGCAGTCCAAGGGACTCGCAGGAGTCTTCTCCAGCACCATAGTTCAAAGGCCTCAATTCTTTGGCACTCAGCCTTCCTTATGGTCCAGCTTTCACAGCCATACATTGCAACTGGGAAAACCATAGCCTTGACCAGATGCACTTTTGTTGGCTGTCTAGAATGCTGTCTGTCTGTTTAGAATGCTGTCTAGGTCTGCCATAGCTTTCCTCCCCAGGAGCAAGCGTCTTTTAATTTTTCTTGGCTGCCAGCAGTCCTAAAAGCAAAAGTTTCTCACCCACCTCCAACCCACCCCACCCCCCAGTAACTTTTTAAAGCCAAGAGACGTTCGGGGATCTTTACAGCCTACCTGAGCCAACAGGTTTAAAAACAGCTTCCCGGACCGTGTTTTGAACGCGTTTGAATCCGTACTGGGGATTCATTTGCTTTTTTTTTCCCCTCTCCTCGACCCAGCGGTAAACAAACGACCTGCTTTCTTTCTTTCCTTCCTTCCTCAGACGCCCCTGCAACCTTTCCGGGATTTCGCCATGCAGGTCTAGGTGCCAGTGACGTCACAATCGGGGACTCCCACCCCCCCCCCCCCTCCCCCCGGGACCCGGGGAGGTCCTGGAACCCCCCCCCCCCCCCCCCCACTGGGTCTCAAATGGACGTGAGGCAGAAAAGAGAGAGAAACGACCGGCATGAAACACGTCTCCCCTTCCCGCCTTCCTTCACAAAGTCCGCTTCAACGTTCATTTAATTAATTTCATTGTAATTTCATTAGGCTTAACCCGAGACGAGGCTCACCCAGAGAAGGGGAAGACAGCGGCAGCTCCATAGCGAAGGCAGCCATCCACCGCCGGGAAAGCAGCAGCCACTGCCAGACCGGCCGCGTGCACAGCAGCCGCCTCTTTCTTGCCTCAGCCCGTCACTTTCAAATGAGGCGGAAGTGCCGCTCTTGCCCGCGGTGGGGAAAAAAAAAAAAAAAAAAGGCAGACGCCACTTCCTCACAAGAACGGACCATAAAGTTGAGGATGCCTAGCGGCCTCTCCTATATAGGTTTGCGACTCTATGGTCGTTTCTCTTTCTGGAATGCGTGGAAAAACGAAAAGTGTTGGGAACTTTTCTTTTTGCAGGCCGTTTCCGCCTGGGTTTTATTGCCTGGCTCAATTTCCGGCCTTGACTCTTGGCCTGTGGGGGGGGGGGGGGGGGGGGGTGGTCTGAGGGAGCGAGTGGCCCTTATTTATGGGTAGTTAGAAATTAAAAGCTTTTTGAAAGCTGCTGTTTTCTTTTAATGACAGCCACTCTTCTGTGGAAGATGAGAGGCGGGATAAAAGCTTTTTTACTCTTTCAAGCTCCATGTATCTTTTCTTTTATGTGCACTGAGAGCGTATGGTCCAAGATAAATTCCTTGTGTGTCCAATCACACTTGGCCAATAAAGAATTCTATTCTACTCTATTCATGTGCAGAAAAATAAGGAATTTAAGTTATTTAAAACATAAATTGCATCGTCAATACCTCCTGCTCTAGGATAATAGAAAATATTATTTTATTACGTGAGATCTATAGCAACAACCTTGTCAACTCTCAACTCTGCTATGTATTCAAAATAATAATGTGTGTATATATATATCTGTCTTCTTAAGTTTTCGCGGGTGTGTATATGCAAAAAATTAAAATCTTGGGTGTTTTCCCACGTCATGATAAATAAGTTAATTAAAATTGTTTAAAATTCTGGTTAAAATCCTAGCTTAAAATCTTCTAAAAATCCTTACAGACCACTCTGCAAGGTCCTTTAAAACCTTAAAATCTGGTAGGATTTTAGCTATATATATATGAGACAAAGGTTATTTAGATCAGATAATTGTAGGCATTTTAAGAAGGTGGAGGAAAACAGTACAATTTCTTCTATTTCCCCTTTGGAAAGAGTGCATGTGAGTGTCCTGGATTTACAGCTGTGTGGTTCTTTGCTCTTTTTCTTAATCATGAATTGTTGCCATTAAAGGTTGGAGAATGGAAGTACGAGTGAAAGCTGTATCTATTTGGTCCTAGAGAAGAAACAAAGAATTTGGATCAGGGGTGAAATTCAGCAGGTTCTGGAGAAATTTTGAGCAGTTCGGAGAACCAGCAAATACCATCTCTGGCTGGCTCAGGAGTGGGAAGGGAATGGAGATTTTGCAGTATCCTTCCCCTGGAGTGGGGTCGGAATGCAGATTTTGCAGTATCCTTCCCCTGCCACACCCACCAAGCCACCACGCCCACCAAGCCACGCCCACAGAACAGGTAGTAAAAAAATTTGGATTTCACCACTGATTTGAAGATGAAGATGCAGCTGCACAATATCAAACTGACTTTTGCATTTGAAAGACTATAAAATGGTTTAAGCTTAGGAAATGAAGTGCAGGGGGAATATATCAGATTGACTTGCATTTGAAAGACAGGTAGGTTTAAGGTTAGGAAATGAAGTGCAGGGAGAATATCTGCAGAGAAAACACTAACCATCCACAAGCTCCAGAACCACGTTTCAAAGAAAATACTATTTTAACTGTAGTTTCAAATATCCTGTATGAGAGAGAAAAAGATTTAGTTCTGAAACCTCAGTAATTTGCATAGAATTGCCATCAGTGATGCAATGCCACTTTGGGGAAGGATCTGATGGTAAAAAATAACTACAGTAATTTATGTGAATAGTGCTATTATGTGAACCAATACTGATGTCAGAGGCCATGACATCTCATTAATGATACATACTATATAATTGTTAGTTGCATTATGACATCAATGATTGATTATTTGTGACATTACAGTGATGATCTTTCAGGCATTCATGTAATCTAACAATCCTAGGAATAGATGGCAGTTGGAGTCTGCATGAATTTTGAAAGATCCATTTTATAGTGTGATTTAATACTGGGATTCATATATTGTAAGTACAGGAAGGGTCAGGCAAATGAAAATCTTAATACCGTTTCAACATGACCAAGGCATTATCCCTAAATTTTAACATTATGGAACTGGTTGTAACCATTCTGTAATGAGTATGTATTTTTAATGATAACTTAATAAAGATGTTGAGATTTGTCTCATGTTCAGCCATTACTGATGCAGTTTAGGATTTCTGATAAAAGGGTCCTTTATTACCACAATTGAAAGATGTTACCAAGATGCAAATGTAAAATATCTAGAGTGACCATGTTCACTGACAACATGATTGCTAAGATTTAAATTCAAAACAAATGTTGAGAGTAGGCAATAGAATTATTTTTTAATTTTACTTTTCTCTTTAAGATCATTCTTTGCAGAACATCCTTCAATGTCTAATATAAACTTCATATTTTTTTCGAACTCATTTTGTTTTGACATCTAGATATTAGACATATTTATTTTCTTGTTATTGTATAAGTTGCCATGGATGTTAAAGCCAGAAGGCCAAATGCTTCCCTGAAATATTTAAAATATGGAACATTGGGCACCATTTATAAATGAAGGAAAATGGATTTCAGGGAAGGAAAAAATCCTTCTCCCAGGAGTGGGGAGGGAATGGGGATTTTATTTATTTATTTATTTGTTTGTTTATTATTTATTTATTTGTTTGTTTGTTTATTTGTTTATTTATTTATTTATCTAGCTAGCTAGCTAGCTAGTTTATATGCCGCCCTCTCTCCGGAAAGGACTCAGGGTGGCTCACAGCAATAAAACAGATAAAATCAATATTAAATGTTAAAACCATTAAAACTCCCCTTGCAGTATCCTTCCCCTGCCATGCACACCAAGCCACACCACGCCCACAGAACCGATAGTAAAAAAATTTGGATTTCACCATTGCTCCAGAATAATCGTTATATTTATTAAGATTAAAATAAAGCAAAATGCATCTGTGATGGATTCAATATTACTTGTAAGAACGAGGATGAGTTTTCGGTGATAGATATAGAGCTGTAATGCTGTGCAACTTTTATTAACACCAATTTTTTCAAAAGTCCATTTCTCTTATTAAAACACAACCATAAAATTCATTCTTCATCGTTCCCCTATTGAGTTTCCATTTTTAATGATTGAATTGACAGTATTTCTGGAGCTGCTCCATGAAGCCAGAATTTGGACAAATAGCAGGTCTTGCATTTTTCACCACAGAAAAAGCCATGGCAAAATTGAGTCCTTCTGAGTACATTAAAAATCCTATGATAATTGCTGCTGCCCGGGAAACTCCTGCATTACAGTGAACAAGCACAACACCATCCTTTGAAAAAGAAAGGAAAGACACATTTAAGCTTTCATTTTCCATCAAAATGGAGACACCAATATTTTCTTTTACTACCAAGGCATTTTAAGCAAGCTCTCTACAAAGTCTTCAGAAGTATAATTTAGTATATGGATACTCTCTTTCATACATACATTTATTTTTACCAGAATCCATGTGGATTGCGTAGATTTTGCTAGATTCAATCTTTTCCCACCTCAGTATTTAGTCAATGCTCTCCCTTTCTGAAGACGGCCAATAGGTAAATTAGAATCAATGCTTCTCTTTTCAGATCGATGACCAGGATCTTCTACTGTTTATTTTTCTCTCCCTTCGCAGCAAATATTTCATGGTTTTCAGCACACCAGCAGAAATATGAGATTTACGGTAGCTGGAGACTGATGGTATGGCTGTGTTATGACAGACAAGTCATCTGTTTATGCCAGCAAGCACATTTAACAGTCTGCTGTATATATTTGTAATGATGGTCTGATCTGCCATGGAGGGCTTAACCAGTTACCGGAGATCCATTTTATTAGGATGGCATGTTTCAATAATCAGAAAATTTAAATGTACACATGCTGAATGTAACAAAAACAATATGCTATTTGAAATCAGAATGGGTAATTCTGGTTGTTGTTTTTTTCTGGTGTAGATTAGAAGTAATTGGGGATTTAAGAATTTAAATATGGGGGTCAAATAGGATTAGGATTACCTTTAAAATAGAGAAGTTAAAGCTCTAAGAATTAAAGTTATCATTAAAATTACATAATGCAGGTTTTGTGATCCTACCCCTCAAATTGATATAGCTACTGTATGTGCAGCAACAACAATACTACAAAAAGATAATTTGGTAGTCGTAAACTTCTATAATTGTGATTTTTTTATCTCAAAAGCCTATGTCATGAATGGGAATATAGAAAATGTATTCTGTTGCAGGTTTGTTTGCTTTAATGAAGCAATTTGTGATCTCATACTTTATTCATTTGTCCTGCTTTGCCTGGCAGGGTGCCTTCAATAAAATATTGAATGTTTTTGTCTGTGCAATAAAGAAATTTTGTATTATGAAGTACCAGAAATATCAGGGGGAAAAAAAAAGATTGTAAAAGCAATCTTGAGTATACAAAGCTAACTGAAAAATTAAAACTTCTGAAGCAGAACAGTAACACCAGGATCTTAGAATGGCCAATCTAATTTAGAAATGAAGTGGAAACAGTAACTAGAAACCTTCAGGAGAGCATGAAATGAAGACACGTTTCAGGTAACCTGTTAATAATATACCACATTCTTCTTTCTAAAATAAGACAAAGGGTAATGGAGCAAAGATATCTTCCTTTCTTTCAAACTGTATAAATAATGAACATGATGAAACTCAGAAGCACCTGGAACAGGTTTGAAAATGTCAAGATACTAACAGGTTGTAGCATCAAGTGAAGTTATATGAAATAGATCAGACATCAGATTACTTATACGCGCATTTAGGTATAGAAGCACTATCTTTATAAAATGATTTTTCTCATTTATTTTTGACAGGTTATACTGTAGACAAAATTCTAGTCATATGTTTGAAATCTAAATATTTCCTATTCAGTTCAGTGCCACAGTTCAGTACAGAGTTAAAAACATTTCAAGGGTCCTCATTCAGTGTTGATTTCCAGTACACAATCACACTCCACACCTTTGGGATCTGCAAGGCTTAAGATACATTATTAAGCTTTACATTGAAATGATTATC